CCCCACAGATACAATGAGTGGGTGGTAAAATTTAATTTCAATTCTTTATGGTATTAAAGTTTGCATTTTTAATTTTATTTTTTTATTTTATTTCTGTACAGTTTGTACTCAAATTGTCAGTTTTCATAATATCCTACTGACAGATAATCTTCAATGCATAAATTGATTTTTATACCATAAATTAATTTAAATTTGTGATAATTATATTAATATGTATTTATGCATGTGGTGTAGAAAGTTTGTTTTTTGAGTTGTGGTCATTGAAAAATACCCTGTACCATAGTCCATGCTTTTTTTAAATTGGCTGCAAAACCACCCTAAATTTTGATTAATTTTTCTAATACATATTGATTCTGATGTCATTATGCTGTGTAGAAAGTTTTGCCTAATTCCAAATAAAAGTGTGTGAGTTATGGCCTCTTTAAATTGTGTGGAAAATTTCTGAAAAATGCCCTGTACGATAGCCCATAGTTTTTTTCGAAAAATGGCTTTGAAATCAACCCCAGTTTTGTGTAGTTTTTGATACATATTGATGCTATTATATGCTAAGTAGAAAACTTAGCCTGATTCTGACAAGTGTCTGACTTAGATATGACCTTCTGATTTAAATTTTCAAATTTTTAAATAATATAGCAGTTGCTTTTTTTCCGAATACATGTACACATAAATGTAAAATACAAGTAAAAATTTTAATATAAAAAGTACATGTGTGTACAAATTTTAATCTGTACATGTAATGTTACATGTTCACATTACATGTGTACTTTAATTTTAAAATGGCATGACTAGTAGTTAACATATGTTTCACATAGGATCTGGAATTATTCACTTGAGGGGGTCAGAGTATATTTATAGTCCTTTTTAAGTGGAAGTTACAGTCTCTAATCTATGACAAGTTGACGAGGGTGAAGATGTCTCTCTACAGACCCTAACCTGATATAGAAAGGACAGACTGGAGAAATACTCACATTCCTTCATTTGTGAGTTATTAATAGTTTATTAATAGTTATTAATAGTTACCTGAGATTAAATTCAAACACTGTGTATGAACATTGCTTGATTGACTTGCCATGCATTTTTATGAAATGGTCTCTCATGATTATCATAGAAACCAGGTCCATGCAGCAGGTCAGGTTTGGTATGACCAACTTTTGTTCAATTAATTAATAAAGACAACTGATTTATTTAATGTTGTGTTTACATGACAAGCACAAAATGCATTATTTCTTCGATACACTTTGAACCCGTTTTGTTCTAATAAAATCTTATTTGCGTTTTCATTCATTTCTTTGTGAACAGAAGCATAAAACAGGCACAAAACAATATCATTTGCATCGTTCTTGTTGCTGCATGAATGTAGCCAAAATGGGAGTGACATAATATACATACTGATATCCTCATGTTACATGTATGATGTTAAGAAATACAGAGAAAAATTATTTAGTAGTATATTGTTTAGTGCAAGGTATTTTTACTTCACTTGAGACAAAGATATAATTTTGTCCTCTTCTTTTCATGTTTTGACAAATTTTGGCTAAGCTCCATTACCAATAAAATATGAAAGAATAGAAGAAGGAGACATTGTAATAGAAAATAAATTAAAGACACCTGCTTCATATTATAGCACTATACTCTCTCTCTCCCTGTATAACTCCTCAGCGTTCATTAGCATGTTCAAACATATTCCTCTCTTTTGTACATGTACTACCTGGTACTCTATCATTCACATTTTCATATTGATGTCCTTATGCTATGTATAAAGTTTAAGCTGATCTTGACTTCAAATTTTCAAGTTTTTGCCATTTTATAAAAGTACATGTACACAAATGTTTTAAAAAAATCAAAATGTTGTTATTTTTGTTTAGAGATGTCATGATAAGAAGATTAGAAAGAGAATGAAATAAAAATTTAAAAGAACAAAAATCAACTTATACAAAACAACTTGAAACTTACCACAAAACAATTGAAGAATAAAAAATGAAGTATGTATATCTACGTGTACATTATAATGAATGAAGAATTTTTATTTATTTTTACCATCTCTCTCTCTCTCTTTCAGAGTATCATTATTCACACAAATTAACAGCAGAAGCACTGTGGAGAAAAGTAAAGAGCATTTGTGAATATAATTTAATCATTACTGTTATGTGTTGCTATGGTAATTGATATGTCCTATTTTGATAGTACATTTTCCACTGATAATTTAAAGTTGGACCCACGATATTCTTTTCATTTAGCACAGGTTAAAAGGAAGCTGACTTGTGCCAGTTTAGTTAAGAAAGATTGGAATAATGGAAATAATAATTTATTGTGTAATAATAGTTGCTATGATACTAGAGTACTGTAAAGTGATATCATCATACTTAGCAGAAGTAGTGACTTAAGTAGCTGCTGTTTTTGTTGCTGTGCTAGATATGGTTAAGGAACTTGACCGGATCTAGTGATTGTTGTTGCAAATTTTTGGATGTTGACCTCAGTAGTGGTGGGCAACATTACATGATTTTTATAATTACTTTTAACTACATGTAATTTTTTATACTTGATTGCAATTATTACTATACTAGCCACATCCAACCACACCTTTTTTAATTAAATTCAATTAATTAACCACAATTATAAGCATGTATACATGTTCATTTTACTGTAAAATGTATTTGGCAGTTTTTATATTCGTGTAAGAGTGCAATACTTGGCGATTTCACTATAGCTTGCAAATCGTCAATCGCTAAATACTGTATACATGTATATATAGCCCATGCTTTTTACCAAAAAATGGCAATTTTTATTACATTTTCTGATACATATTGATGTCCTCATGCTGTGTAGAAAGTTTGAGCTTATTTTGATTAAAAAATTTTAGTTATGGCACTTTTTAAAATGAGCAGATTTCTGATCCACAGTGCTCTTGCTTCTGTAATATGGTATGACAGAAAATTAGGAAAATTGACAGGTTATTAAATATAGGATTTTTGTTGTAAAGTAATGCTTTGTGTTGTGAATAATTATCAGTATAACAATATGTCCTCTTGATGATCAATTATATTGATAATATTGCACATCATTATATGGTGTGTGTGTGTGTGTGTGTGTGTGTATATTTTGTCATTTCCTCTCTCTCTTTCTCCAGCTGGTCATTTTCAGGATTCTGGTGTACTGGTTGAACTGTGCGGACAAATTTTAAATTTTTTTTATCATCTCTTTTAAACATTTTTATTAAAAATTATATCACTATTATTATTATTATTATTATTATTATTATTATTATTATTATTATTATTATTACTAATGTACTTTTATTTTTTTGTCTTTTCTTTTTATCTGCTCCTTTTTGAGAGAAATATATTGAGAACGGAAACAAGACTGACTTGCTGAAATGGAGGAAGGTCAGCTAGAGAAAAGTTATTAAAGACTGAGGGAGAGACAGAAATAAAGGAGAAGGAAATAGAAAGAAATGATGACAACAAAGAGAGAGACAGTGACATGAGTGTGTGTCAGTAAGAGAAGGAATGCACAGTATACTTGCAGAAGGAGAGAGAGATTGATGAGAGAGCAAGAAATGTTCATGTGTTAGATTTATGCTAATATAGTAATGTGTCACTGGTCCACCTTTTATCACGATGTAAAGTAGTGTATTCTGATTAGTTGCTTATTGGTTAAGAAAATGAACTGACTTGGTACAATAATTGTTGTGTCAAGAGATTATTAATAATTCACATGAAGAGTGATTAGTCACCACCAGTATACTCTGTCTTTTATGAGGTGATAGTTAGGATAAGTATTAATACAAGTCCCTTTGTGTCGCTCGTCTAGTATGAGTCTCCTTATATTCTTATCCATTAGTGACTGGAGGATGAGTAGTATTGACTCAGTAGACAATGAATTACTCCTTAGATCTAGTTTAACTAGTGATGAGTTATTGAGGAGGAGGTGAGAAAGATCATGTCCACTAGTAGAAGTGATGAGAGGATTACAATAAAGATCTAATGAGGTAAGTGTGGAGTTGTGTTTAAGTGCTTGACAGATATTAGTAACTCCTCTATCACTAACAGAGTAGCCTTTGATGCCTAGTTCTTGTATTGTTTTATTATTAGTTAGTAGTATACACAAGTACTGGATGCAATCATTAGTTAATGGAGTGTACCATATCTCAAGACTACTCAGGTTTAGTGTATGCAGTTTAGTTGATGATAGTAGAGATACAGTACTATTAGTCGATGAGGAGTGGAGGTCAATCTTCTTATAATTATCATTAATATTACCAATCACTTCATTACACTGAACTGAAGATGGAGAGTAAAGGGACACCCTGTCACTGCCCCAGTCCACTCTCCCAATGACTCCTAATATAAACCAGGGAATTATACTTATGTATGTAAATAATACACATATTCTCATTGTGTGTAATATACAAATACACACAACTTGCATAAACAAATACAGACACAGCTAGTAGTTGTCACTGACTCAATCTATGTGTCTGTGAATGTATTAAATATGTATACAGAGTAAAATTTGAAGTAAAATTACTGAATTAATTTATATACAATCTCAAAGTATATATGGATGAACGCATCGCATTAAATGTACATGTACAATACATATATACATGTTCATTAATAATTATACTGACTGTCACAATAATCACAAATATTACCTTTATCATGTTGTTCCTTGTCTTGTCTCAGTGCAGGTATCATAATAGGATCATCATTAATAGTCTCCAAGAAAAGAGAAGCTTTCTCATCATTACTAGATGAATCATTCCTTATCTTCTGTAGAATAGGAAGGGAAACTTCTTCCACTGACAGTATAAACTCTAACAATTGAAATGACTCCAACATTGAGTAAACACAACTACTAGGAATGACTCCCACAACACCAGACACCAAGGATCTTCCTTTCCACCAAAAACTATTCCACTTCTCATATATCTCCAGCTGCTCTCCATCACTAAATGATATTCGACCATTCATTGTTGCATGAAAGCCATAACGGGCAATAAAAACAGATTTTGCTGTTGGTTTATTGACTACAAATGAGTGATACAATATATTGATCAGTTAATAATATAACACATACTTCTTATCAAATTTCTATATTCTTCATTCTCTTCTCTTTTATTTAGTAAGTGCACACTCATTAATGATATCTGTTCTTGTAGTTCAGCTATTTCTCTTTTAATGTCTATTAATGATTTATTCTGATCCATTAAACCTATCACAGTATAATTATAATACACTAACACATACATCATGATTCAGTACCAGCTTTATTTGTTAATAATAATTGCAATTGTTCTATTTCCATTCTCATTCCTCTTCTGATTCTGTATGATGCTATAAATAACAAATAATAAATAAAATTGTAGTAATAATTCTAACTTGAATTTGTCTCTTTTGCTAATGACAAAAGTTGTTGAATTTCCTTTACTCTTATTTCTACGTATATTATTTCAATCATTAATAAAATTTTACTATACTTACTTGTTAGTGTTTCTTTTAACTGTTTGTTTGTTTTTAATTCTTTTATTAATTGTCGATTAATTATTGTCACACTTGTATCAGTTGATAGCATATCTAAAATATAATAATAATTTATCAATTGATAATAACTGGTCAAGAACCATTACATTAATGTATTATTATACCTTGATTAATCACTGATTGAGGTGTTGCTCCTTCTGCTTCTTTCACCTCCAGTCTTGCTACTCTCTCTTCCTATTAAGTCAGTTTAATAAAATTATCAAACACAAATTATCATACCTTTGTATCATGAGGTTGTTCCTTTATCTCCTGTACTTCCTCTTCCAGTGGTTCCTGTATTTCCTTTATAATACAGTATATAAGGATAATTACTGACAGTATATCTACACATACTTGTATCTTTTGTTTCTTCCATATTGTGCAGTATCCAACAGTAAGCTTCATTAAACCATTCTTTATTAATAATTCAAGATTCTCACTCAATTTTATAATGAGAGCTCCAGTGAGAGAGTGAGGGAAGGAGCAAGTGATGGTGATGGAGTGAGTGCTTTTGATGTTGATCAGCTTCATAAATTTACCAGAAGATTTCGATACAATATCTGTAACATCCTTTAGTTTATGCTCAGTAGCTTCCCATCCAAGTACATAAGTAGCTGTTTCACATTTAAGAAGAGGACTGGCCCTAACTACATCAAATGGCTCATTCAAGCACAGATCAACTGATAAATTACAACAAAATTCCTTAACTTCTCTCTTGTAGTCATCAATGTATTTCTGAGCATCATCAATCTCAAAGTGCTCAACAACAGCTTCAAGGATGACAATATTAATTAGACTACAATTTTTTCTAATCAGACGCATTACACCTTCTTGATTTTTTATTGAACTCAATTCTACTTCAAGGTCAGAGTTGAAATCTTCAATAAATGTCTTAAGCTCTTTTAAAGGAGGTGGAGATTGAGAAATAACTTTACGAATATTTGAAAACATTTTAGCAAATTTTGCATAAAGTACATCAAAATCTTCACTTTTATACTGTGGAATGTAAAGAGGAGCAACTGCAAAAATGAATGTAACTAAAAATTAATCACAGATTAGAACTCACCACTAGATGTTGATTTATTGGAATCTGTACTAGAAAATTCAGAAGATTCCTGAGCTAAAAATTATAAGCTGACTATTGATATTCTATTGTAATGATGTACAAATGTACCTTCATCATCTGATATCACTTGTGTAGCATCATTAAATACTTTATCTAAAAATAAAATTTAAAAAATTAATTGTGTAAATTAAGTTACGTCACCATAGTCTCTTTGTATAACTGTTCCTAGTTTTACATTACCAGTGAACTTGCACAACACACTAGCAAATGTTTGTAGTAAACTATACTTGCTTTGAATAGCTATTAGAATGGCAGCTAACAGGACTTCACATTGATTAGGAACAGAGGAACTAGCTGATTCCACACTAGCCAATACTTGTCCTGTTATGACACCCTCTCTTTGAAGCATAATAGCTACACTGACAGGATCAGAGAGAGACTGAGAGAGGAGTGAATGATGAGTGTTGAATATATCAATAGCCTTAGCTTTACGTTCTATAGAATACACACACACACAGACACACAGTCAATACTAATACAATCAGTAATATTAACTTACTTTCTTGATCTAATTTGTCAGCTGCAGCATTCTCATTCATAGATTTAAGAGCATCTGACAGTGAGTCAAAGGTAGCTCCTCCTTTACTGTCAACATTATCAGCTCTACGCAGCCATCTGGCTATGCATTCAATAAAACGATCTTCTACTTTTGAGTAGTTTTCTGCCATAGCATCCAGTGAGTCCATGAGTAGTCCTAGTGTCAGTCCTAGTTCCTTCCATCTTCTCAGAGGAAAACCACATCTCTTCAACAGATTGAGTACATCAATAAGTTGCTCTAAAATTATATTAATGATACATAAATAGTTTAAGAACATTACCAATACTCAAAGGGGAGGAGAAGGTACTTAAAGAAGAGGAACAAGAACTGGTTTTAGTTGCCATTGAGCTAACCAGGATGGCGGAATGGTGAAGGAGTGGCTCGTTTTGGGCGGGGCAATTATTTCATTTTAATTATTAGATGTAACCTTCAATATGGCGGATTGAAACAGAAAGAGATCGTCTCTGAGAATTGAGATCATGGACATAATGGACTTTCACATACAGGGAACAGAGACTGCTGATGATGAAAACGATGGAGTTACTAATAGCAAAATAGCAGAGGAGGTAGTTTAAATGTACCTATACATGTATCAAGCTTGGCGTCAATTACAAAATTTCATTTCAATTACAATTACAATTACTATCAAAGCAGCTAAAACCAGATCAATTACAATTACAATTACTGCCATAGATGAGACACTCAATTACAATTACAATGGCAATAGCTTGTAATTACAGCATTAATTACAATGATCATAATTTTACCCGTATCATGACAAAAATTACAATGATGTTTTTCCACATTGCATTGAGTTTTAAAGTTTTTTTAATCAGTGAGCATTAATGAGGCTTACTATGCTGAAAATTCACTCTAGAGGACTGATATACATGTAGGTAGGATATCAAAGTAAGATTATAGGCACAATTACACAATTACAATATGTATAATGCAATTACAATTACAATTACGCACTAATTGTAATTGACGCTGTAATTGCAATTATAATTGCAATTATAATTGCAATTGACCCCAAGCCTGACATGTATACAAATTTTTGAAATATATACATGTACGATATGTCGGCCTGTACCTGTACCTGTAGAGGCCCAATCAAAGTCTTGCCCTGGGCCTCACATAGCCTATTGCCAGCCCTGCCTGTACCAAAAACTATGGACTATCGTCCATGCTTTGTTTCAAAAAATGGCTCTAAAATCATTTCCATTTTTTGTTGCATTTAAAAAGTTGAAATTGATTCTGATTAAAATTTTTGAGTTATATCCATTTAAGCAAATGAACCAATTAATATGATTGCATCTCATTGTTTTTATTCATTTTAGGATTTTAGGAAGAGCTTTGCTGAGAAATATTGAATTATATTAGATACTTCCCCCCCCCAGTATTGTCCGAGGGCATCTTTATTTTCTCTTAGGTATAATGTAGTTCTTTATAGTGGTTTATGTAGTTATTTTTCTATTTTATTATTGTTATTATTGTTGTTGTTATTCTTCTTCTTATTATTATTATTATTAATATTACTATTATTATGATCAGAAATTTTTTTAAAGAATAAGAAAAATTCATATATTATTTGAATTATTAAAAGTAAATATACATACGTACAAGTACATGTAATCCTTTATCTCCTTGTCTTTCACTATTTAGAGTGTTAATAGAAAATGTGTTTCATTTACCCGACACATTCCCAGAGACTCAAAGTATCTTGAGGTACGTTATTCCACTCGTCATCCTGCCCCTCCCCCACCTCCTCTGGTCTCTCGTACAGCTGTGTGTTTGGTACAATACAATAAGGTTAGGACACACAGTCAGACTGAGTCAGTGGTATGTACATGTACCGGTACATGTTTGTCCTGTTATGTTTTGCCAAATTTTAGCAACTTTTAAAATTTGTAAAAAAAAATCTTATTTTGATCAAAATGTGCTCAAACTTTCTACACAACATAAGAACATGTATATGAATTAGAAAAAAATTATAAAAGTAGAGACTTTTCTCCTTTTCATTTTTGGTTTAGTTTGGCCAATGACCCTGCCTGTACTATAGTACACAAACTTTTTTTTTTTAATGGCTCCAAAATCAGCCCAAGTTTTTATTACATTTTTTGATACATATTGATGTCCTTTTACTATGTAGCAAGTTTGAGCTGATTCCGACTTCAATTTTTTGAGTTACACCATTTTAATAAAATCCTAAAGTTTTGAAAATTACCCAAGGCTATATAGCACATGGTTTTTTCTTAAAATTTTGAAGTATATTATTTCACTTGTCATCCTGCCCCTCCCTCCACCTCCTCTGGTTTTTCATACAGCTGTGTGTTTGGTACCAATACAACAAGGTTAGGACACATAGTCAACTGTATACCATATAGTGGGAAATTTTGGAGGGACTAAAGTTTTGCGAATTGCTAAATTTTGGTGATTGGCAAATTTTAATTTGGTGAATTGGTGGCCACGTACCATTGAGCATGCATACAGTGGCTCAAGATGGTGGATTTTTATTTTGGCAAATGGCTATCAAAATGCCAAATTCCCAAATTTAATTCCCTCCAAAATTTCCCGCTATACGGTATACGTAAATGTACATGTACATGTTTGTCTTACAAAATTTTACCAAGTTTATAATTCGTAAAAAATACAATTTTGATCAAACTTTCTATGCATTGTAAGAACATGTTTTGTATCAGAAAGAATTATAAAAGTAGAGAATTCTCACCACTTCATTATTGATGTAATGTGGCCAATGACCCTGTACATACAGGTAATTTTGAAGCAACTTTTAAAATTTTGAAAAAAAATAATTTTGATTGGACTCAGCTCAAACTTTCTACACAACTTAAGAACATTAACAAAAATTGTCAAAGTGGGGATTTTTCACTTTTTCATTTTTGGCAACATTTGACAAAATGCCCTGTAGGGTCCTTGCTTTGGTTAAATTTTGTAGCAACTTTAGTAGCCTCTTTGTGATACATGTAAATTTTATTTCTCTTTTTTCTATTTTTATAGCTCTATATCCACTAACAGCTAGTGTGAATCAAACGATCTCTAATATCAGTGGGTGTAGCTTCTGAACAAGCTAGTGTAGTGCTCTGGTACATAAACATTTCTCATTGATGGAGCTTTGCCTACAAAAATTGGAATCGGATATCTGCTGTGAGTTTTGTTTGCTATTTTTAGAACACTGTGTCCTGGACACCACCTGACAGACACATACCTTGAAAGTTTAAAGAAAGGATGGCATTAGAAAAGGTCTTTCTCCTCTCACTCTCTCTCTCTCTCTTCCTCCCCCCCTCTCTCTTAAGTCTTAACTGGCATTAAGTTTTACCTCATTCTTATTTTTATTAGGAGTTTAAGCTTGAGGTTATATTCCCCTGGAATAGAAGTATCATATCATCCACTCAAGCAGTCCTTACAACCTGTGAACAAGTACAGGATTGAGTTAAGTTGGTATGACTCATTAAATTAATGTGAGAACACTTTTTGTCAATGTCAACTACTGTAAAACTACAAATTTTAGCGTGCTACTTATTTTAGCGATATTAGCGAAGAGCCTAAACATGCTAAATTTAATATTCGCTAATAAAAACACCCGGTCACGTGATCACAAAATGTCGCTGATACCATAGATACAGTATCTATGCGATACTATACTAGTAGATGGCTCTCTTCTGCTCGGTTGGCAACACTACCAGAGGAAGGAGAACCCAGTGGAACGACAGCAGCAGCTAACAGAAAAGTGGGAAAGGTTTAATGATACGCCAAATTTAATAGTCGCTAATTTGACATTTAAGCATAAACGCTAAATAAAATAGCCGCTAACATTAATAGGTTTACAGTATTTTTTTATTATGTTCTGTTTCTCTACTTTATTATGATTTTAAGCCCTTGCTATTACACCCAAGGAGATTAATTATATAGTATAAGTGATTCTGAATAATTTTTTATTATTGCAATTTTTAATCATGCTAATTCTATTAAATAAGTGGGACTGAAAAAAGGAATGCAGTTATAGCATTAGAAGTATGAATCTAAAACTAACAATAAAAATTATGGCACCTGTTTTCTGCATTAATTGCTGCAATAAATTTACCCAGTTATGATATGACATCAATTCTAAAACAAGGAAGAAATGCTCAAATTCATGTTAAAAATTTGTTTCTATTTCTATCTTTTGAGCCACTGTATGCATGCTCAATGGTATGTGGCCACAAATTCACCAAATTAAAATTTGCCAATCACCAAACTTTAGCAATTCGCAAAACTTTAGTCCCTCCAAAATTTCCCGCTATATGGTATACCGTTGACTGTGTGTCCACCTTGTTGTATTGGTACCAAACACACAGCTGTACAAGAGACCAGAGGAGGTGGGGGAGGGGCAGGATGACAAGCGGAATAACGTACCTCAAGATACTTTGAGTCTCTGGGAATGTGTCAGGTAAATGAAACACATTTTCTATCAACACTCTAAATAGTGAGAGACATGGAGATAAATGATTATATGTACAGTTTTCTGCATTCAACAAATTGATGCCAGTTAAAAAAAATTTTCTATTTCTATCTCAAGACTGACTTGCTAAAATGGAGGAAGGTCAGCTAGAGAAAAGTTATTAAAGACTGAGGGAGAGATAGAAATAAAGGAGAGGGAAATACACGCATAAAGAAATGATGATAATAAAGAGAGAGACAGTGACATGAGTGTGTGTAAGTAAGAGAAGGCCTTACTGGAGAAGGAGAGAGAGAGAGATTGATGAGAGATCAAGAGATGTTCATGTCAATCATGTGTTAGATTTATAGTAATATCAGTAATGTGTCACTGGTCCACCTTTTATCACGATGTAAAGTAGTGTATTCTGATTAAAGTCCATTTGCATTCACCTGAGCCCAGGCCCCAGGAATTGTGATTACAGACCCCACCCAATAATTAACACAATGCAATAATATTGTGAAAAGTATGGCTGTACTTTCTGCAAGGGTTATACAACCAACTTGGAGCTAAAAAGCTACAGCTACTTCTTAAGCACTACAATAGATGCGGCAAAAGGAGAGGAATGCACTGGTATGTTTATTTTTACAATAGAACTTGTAAGTCAAAAGTTATAGCAAGATAACAAGGGCTCAGATGAACACAATTGACTTTAGTTGCTTATTGGTGAAGATGAACTGACTTGGCATTATGAATTGTTGTATCAATAGATTATTAATAAATTTAAATGAAGAGTGATTAGTACCCCCACCAGTCTATTCTGTCTTGTATGAGGTGATAGTTAGGATAAGTATTGATACAAGTCTCTTTGTGTCGCTCATCTAGCTTGACTTCTATTATAGTACTGTTATTGGGTAATGACTGGAGAATGAGTAGTGTCGACTCAGTAGACAATGAAGTCTCAGTTAGATTAAGTTCAACTAGTGATGATTTATTGAGGAGGAGGTGAGAAAGAGCCTGTCCACTAGTAGAAGTGATGAGAGGATTATGATAAAAATCTAATGAGGTAAGTGTAAAGTTGTGTTCAAGTGCTTGACAGATATTAGTAACTCCTCTATCACTAATGGAGTGGTACCTGATGACTAGTTCTTGTATTGTTTTATTATTAGTTAGTAGTATACACAAGTACTGGATACAATCATTAGTTAATGGAGTGTACCATATCACAAGTCTCCTAGGGTTTAGTGTATGCAGTTTAGTTGACGATAGTAGAGATACTGTACTACTAGTAGATGCAGACCGGAGGAGAATCTCCTTATGATTATTATTAATATTACTAATCACTTCACTGCACTGAACTGGAGATATGATGTAGGGGATACACTGTTAAAACCCCAATCCACACTCCCAGTGACTCCTAATATAAACCAAAGGATTATACTAATGCTTGTCATAAATACAGGCACAGCAAGTATATACATACATGTATATTTGTCACTGACTGTATTATGCAAATGTGTATGTCTGTAAAGTGTGTGCAGAATAAAATTGGTAGTAAAATTAGTTTTTACACAATCATAAGTATGCACGATGTACACATGACATTGCACATGTATGTGCATCTTATAACTGTATAAATGTTCTTAAATTATTATGTCTTATGGTTACAAGTATTCTACCTTTATCATGTTGTTCCTTGTCTTGCCTCAGTGCAGATATCATAATAGGATCATCATCAATAGTCTTCAAGAAAAGAGACACTTTCTCATCATTACTAGATAAATTATTCCTTATCTTCTGTAGGATAGGAAGGGACACTTCTTCCCCTGACAGTATAAAATCTAACAATTGAAGTGACTCCATCATTGAGTAAACACAACTACTTGGAATGTCTCCCTCGTCACCAGACACCAACGATCTTCCTTTCCAATAAAAACTATCCTCCTTCATATATATCTCAAGCTCCTCTCCCATACTGAATGATAGATCAACACTGTCAATTGCATGATAGTTGTAACGAGCAATAAAAACAGATTCTGCTGTTGGTTTATTCACTATACCAGTGATACAAAACATCAATCAGTTAAAATAAATCATTTATGACATACATTTATCATCACCTTCTGCCAATTTAACAGTTTCATTTTCTTTTGCATTTGACGAAGTCAATGTAAGTTGCTCCATCCATTCTGATTAATAAAATAATTAAAATTTGCAATAAACAATAACTGTATAGTGTACCTCTAATTACATCTCTATATTCTTCATTCTCTTCTCTTTTATTTAGTATATGTACACTAATTAATGATATCTGTTCTTGTAGTTCAGCAATTTCTCTCTTAATTAATGATTCGGCATTCTGATCCAGTAACCCTATTATAGTATAATAATAAAACACATACATTATGATTCAGTACCAGTTTTATTTGTTAATAATAATTGCAATTGTTCTATTTCCATTCTCATTCCTCTTCTTATTCTATATGATACTTTAAATAGCAAATAATAATAATAATAATAATAATAATAATAATAATCATTGTTAAAAATTCTAACTTAAACTAGTATTTGTTGCTAATGATGAAAGCTGTTGAAGTCCCTTTACTGTCATTCCTACATTGTATAAATTATAATTAATAACTGTTTTATTATACTTGCTAGTGTTTCTTCTAATTGCTTGTTTGTTTTTATTTCTTTTATTAATTGTTTATTAATTATTGTCATACAAGTATCAGTTAATAGCATATCTGAAACATGATAATTATTCATCAATTAATAATACTGGTCAACAACCATTACATTAAAATGTATTAATATACCTTGATTAATTACTGATTGAGGTGTTGCTCCTTCTGTTTCTTCCTCCTCTAGTCTTGTTATTCTCTCTTCCTATATTAAGTTAGTTTTAAAAATAACCAAACACAAACTATTATACCTTTGTATCATGAGGTTGTTCCTTTATCTCCTGTACCTCCTCTTCCATTGGTTCCTTTATTTCCTTTTTTAATACAGTATGATAATTACTGACAGTATATATACACATACATGTACTTGTATCTTTTGTTTCTTCCATATTGTGCTGTATCCAACAGTAAGCTTCATTAGACCATTCTTTATTAATAATTGAAGATTCTCACTCAATTTTATGATGAGAGTTCCAGTGAGAGAGTGGGGGAAAGAGCAAATGACAATGATAGAGTTTCCTTTCTTAATGTATTTTATTTTCTCTAGTTTACCAGATGTCTTGGAAATAATTTGCTTAATATCTTGTAGCATGTGCTCATCTGGTTCCCAGTCAAAGACGTATGTAACTGTTTCACATTGAAGAGAAGGACTACCTCCTAATGCTTCAAACTTCTCATTTAAGCAAAGCGTAATTTTTACTGTGTGGCAAAACTCTTTTAATGTGCCTTAGTATCTTTTGATATATTTTTCAGCTTTTTTTATTTTGAATTCTTCTACCAATGATTGTAGCAGCTTAATATTGATTAACGAACACTCTTTCTCTATTACTCTTAACACTTCAGTGATATTTGAACACAGAGACAACTTTGGTTCGAGACTGCTCCTACAGCAACAAAGGTACTCCTTGATGTCATCTAGCGGTGGTGGCTTGTTCTTTATTATTTTACGAACATTATACAACATTTGACCATAAGATGTTTGTATTGAAGTGAATTCATCACTCATGCATTGAGGAATGGCTATCTCAACTATTAGAATTAACAGTTCTGTTATTAATAATTATTATATGGTACTTACCAGTTGGTATATTAGGTGGAGTAGGTGATGGTGTAGTTGTTCCAGTGCTTAATGTATCAGTGCTCATATCATCATCAGGAATAACAACTTTAATAAGCTTCTTATCATCATTAAAGTATTTGTCTAAAAAATTATGAACATCATCTTATATGAACAGACTCACTATAGTCTTTTTGTATAACTGTTCCTAGTTTTACATTACCAGTAAACTTACACAACACAATAGCAAATGTTAGTAGTAAACTATACTTGCTTTGAATAGCTACTATAATGGCAGTTAACAGGACTTTACGTTGATTAGGAACAGAGGGACTAGCTGATTCCACACTATTCAATACTTGTCCTGTTATGACACCCTCTCCATGAAGCAACCTAGCTACACTGACAGGATCAGAGAGAGACTAAGAGAGGAGTGAATGATGAGTGTTGAATATATCAATAGCCAGTACTGTATTACATTCTATAAAAGTACACACACGCACACACACACAGTCAATAGTAATACAATCAGTGATATTAACTTACTCTCTTGATCTAACTTGTCAGCTGCAGCATTCTCATTCATAGATTTAAGAGCATCTGACAGTGAGTCAAAGGTAGCTCCTCCTGTTCTGTCAACATTATCAGCTCTGGACAACCACTGGGAGAGGCACTCTGTTAAACAATCATCTGTTGTGTCATTGTCTTTTTTAATAGCGTCCAGTGTGTTCTTGTGTAGTCCTAGTGTCAGTCCTAATTTCTTCCATCTCCTCTGAGGGAAACCACATCTCTTCAACAGATTAAGAACCTCAATCAGTTGATCTAGAGATCATCAAAACATATCAAATTATTGAGATTCATGTGTGCTATACCAATAGTCAAAGTAGAAGAGAAGAGAGAAGGTGGAAAGGAATAGCTGCTGCTCTTCGTTGCCATTGTTTAATATTTATGCAGAAAGGTAACTGGTTAGCTAGGGTGGGGCTGCTAAGCCAGGGCGTGGCTCATTAAGTCATTATCTGTATTAAAATGTGAACTTTTAAATTTAACCCTCAATATTATTATTATTATTATTATTATTAATAAACTTTACAGTACTAACATAGAGAAAGAAGAAAAGAAAAACATTAAATTGAGGGCAGCAGGAGTTTGGAGTACTGAGGGTACATCAGTAATTAATACTGAGTACCAGAAATAAAAAAAAAATAAAACAATAATTTACACTATAACACTATATACATTATACATACACATAAAGTTACTAATGCAACAAAACAGTTACTTGACTTGTGAAGTGATACATTTGCTACAGGGGCAACAGAAGTGGTACGTACATAGATCCTCAGAGTTGAAAGTTTCTTCAAAGTAGGACCACTTTAGGCGACGAAGATGGAATTTTGCTATTAGAA